CTTCTTTTCTAGATTCGGTATCCTTTACTTGTTTATCGTTTGCCCAATTGAGGGGAGAGGGAGATGTTTGTTGTTGCTAATCTTGAAGGTGTGGAATTCAACATGAATCCTTTCTGATTCTTTGTTTTTTCTTGAGGAGGAATAATCGATTAGGAAAGAGAGAAGTGAACAAAAGGGGCATTGGATAACATGCTAATCCTGGACCCAAAAATAAAAAACAGTTAACTGTTGTTTCACATGCGATTTCATATCTAACATCACAATCTGAGTTGTTGCAGATCTGGGCTACATCCAGAAGCATGTTATCCTCCTCCTCCTTTTGTGGTAAAGGGAATAGTGATCGGATAGCAAGAAAAGAGGGTATCATATAACTGCTATCTGTTTGCTCGAGCCAGGGAGAAAACAGCAAAGAATGGAAGGCAGGAACTTTTGGGGAATCTATCATCTCAGCATATCAATGTTGTCTATTACTATTGACAACACCAATGTCGTCGCGTTATTACATCTTTACAACCACTTATTAAAAAGATTTCCCAAGGCTCATTCACCGGGGAAACTGAAAATGGAAGAACATAATGAACCCAGAATTCTCTTATCCTAAAACTGAAAATGGCTCAGATTTTTTTGATGCGGGGTAAAAGAGATTTGAAGATAAAGTACTAAGCTAAGAAGAAGAAGAAGAAGAAGAAGAAGAAAAATAATACGGATTGCAAAAGTTTTTAACTTTGCAAATTTCGTTTAATTCATAAAAAGCCGTCTTTCAAACTGAAAGATAAGACATATAAATCATAACTCTAATATATCCAATTATTGGGAGCCCATCAATTAAAATTATCTTAATAAATAATTTAAATAAATAAAACAAAGATAATAAAATAGATCTAGATAGGCTTACTCTCCTAGTCAATGAGTGACTCTCCTAGAGTGATAGGCTAGGTTTTTTTTTTTTTTTTGTTTCTAGTACTAAAATTATGTTAATAAAATTAAGTAACCTGAGGTTTGGTATTCCAACCAATTCTATTAGAGTAGAAAAAAATCAACTATATTGAATATAGCTTTCAAAGATTTTGATATTACTCTTAAATATTTAAATCTACATGTTGATATGTATATCTAGTAATCCAGAAGCAATCTAAATCATCTTAGATCACCTAACTAAATAGAAATCATTGTACTTCATTGTTTATAATAAAAAAAACTTGTTCACCTAAAATAATATTAATATTACCCTTTTAAGTTAATGTCAAGGTGAAAGAGGTTGAGGTTTCATTAGGATCATCGAGAGGAGAATCGAGAGGAGAATTAGAAGGCATTTCAAAGGGATTATTTGGAATAAAATATGGTTTTTGAAATGCACCTAAATCCTCAATGTTAAATGTGGAGCTAATGCTAAAATCAAGTGGTAAATCAATAACATAAGTATTTGAACCAAATCGTTGTTGCACTTTAAATGGCTCAACACTATGTACATGTAATTTTTTATTAGTTTCCGAAGGATGCTGTTTAGGTATAATTCATATTATAACACAGTCTTCAATATTAAATTCATTGTGTCATCTATGTAAATCAACTTGAAATTTATATTACGCATTACTTGTTTGAATCTACTTAATAATCTCTATATGTAAATCCTAAACTCGATATGCAAATAATTTGGCTGACTCAGACACCCTAGCATAAAGAGACATGACAAAAAGGTTTAATGACTCATGCCCATTGACATAGCTATTATAGGTCGATTAAGCTGTAGGAAAAACCAAATTTTAATTTTTATTATGATCACTCACTAGATATCTCAAAAAGTTGCCTAAATTCATATTAACCATCTTGATTTGACCATCAATTAAGGGGTGGTAGGCATTAAAAAACTTCAACTTAGTTCCCATTATATGTCAAAGCGTTTTCCAAAAAGAACTCATAAATCTAACATTCCTATCCAAGATTATGGTTTGGGTAAGACCATACAACTTGATCATCTCATCAAAATAGAGTTTCATAACTCTAAAAGCATACGTGGTCTTAGTGCAAGAGATAAAATGAATCATCTTAGAGAAACGATCAACACCACAAAGATAGAATTATACTTCTTTACTATATATGGAAGCCCATACATAAAATCCATATTTACATTTTGCCAAAGGCAAGTGGGAAAAGCAACAAGGTGTAAAAACTAGTGTTTTGTTTTATATGCTTAGCTAGTTAATATATGTGACATTGACCTACCAATTTAGTTATATCTTTTTTAATGAGATAATCAAGTTGCATGGTCATCCTCGAACCTTTTGACATTGTTATTAAACATAACTTAGTTGGTCACTTTTAAATCTTTTAACCTGATTTTTTATCTAACTTGAGTTTAAAATAAACTATAAAAGTTGACTTTAGATAACTTAATTGACTTGATGAATCTACTAAACAACCCGGATGATCAGTACAAGCATGGTTTAATTTTAAAAAATTAAAATATTTTTTTAATATTATGATAGCGACATACTGGATTAACCAGGACTTTGTGACTTAACTTATATAACTTAAGACCTCGATTATGCACTCCATTAGGTTTAAAATCTTTGTTTATTTAAATTATTTTTTATGTAATGATATGATAATAAAAATAAACTTTTATGAAAATTAAGTACTAACCAAATACTGGAATATTTGTTTAAAACTCTCATAATTAAAAAAAAAATAAAAAAAAAATTATAATCAATTTAAAATAAATAAAATATTGAAAAAGAAAATTAGAAAAAGAAAATTTGGAAGGTAGAATTATAAAAAAAATATACTAAAAAAAAAAGTTGAACAGTGACTGCTATTCATGTTTTAGTTTTTGTTAATTTAACTAGTGAGCATTTTTTTAGGATCAAAATTATCAAAAATTCTTTTTTAACACGATACAGAATAAATAATGTAAACTCAAATCGTAAAATTATAAATAAAATATTTTAACTAATTATATATTGAGAATTCCAACCTCTTCCAATAACAACAACAACAAGAAAAAGGAAGATCCACAAGCACCTTCTAGGTCTGTCTAATATTTTTATGATCATAAAAACATAGAATTTGTTCTCAGAGAATTCTCAGTATAATTGACATTTGCATTAAATGAAATAATTACAACATGGCATCAAGCCAGCGACAATGTTTATCCAGGGATAAACGTTCCCTCTTTTGTGTACAAACAACTTAAGAAGAGAAAAACAACCAGGACCTAAAACAATCTTCCTAACAATCTTTGAAGAGGCGATGAATACATTCTAGCTGAATACATTATTACCAAAACCAAATCAAATCATTTTCAGAGTCAAAGTAAACATTCTAGCTGTTGTTTCCTTCACATGATTTTGCACGGTGAGTGCTGAATTTATGAAATGTAGCCGAGTGTATCAACCTCTTACCTCAGTTGGTCTTCTGTACTATCACAGAAAGTTTTGTTTGAAACACAAAATTACAAGTAATACATGCATGCAGTCATGGGTAAAAGGCTATTAATTTATCAAAAAAAAAAAAAAACAGAAGGAAGATCAAGAATTCGCTGAACTCTGACATTTGATTAGCAATTATATGAAAGATCTGGTCGAGCCATTCTGTTTATCAATGAGGTTTATGAGCATCTTAAGAGGTTCATGATCCTCAGAAAAGTGGAACAAACACCAACTGAAAGGGCGTACAATTTATTCCTAAACACGACGAGCCTACATACTTGCAGGTTCCATAATTGCAAAGATGAAGCAACCGTGGCATTACTCACCAAGATTACATCGGGCCATAGACAGTGCCCGCATCTCCCTTACTCTTTAGATGTATAATAAACTATTTTTCTCTTCTTGGCCCTCTCTACACCATAAAAATCCCTCATGAACTCTATCCATGTAGCAACCACGAGATGGACTCGAAACAAGGGGAAAACAAGGACAGAATATGTCTAACCGAAATTAACAGCAAGTAAAGTGTCTACCAGATTTTCAGCACGAAGAAGATTTTGTCTTTTTGCAAGAACAAGAAGTTCGAAATTATTTGACTTCCAAACCACCAAAAAATGATATTAGCTTATGACCCTCTTCCGCAAAGTAGAGAAAAAAATGGAGATTAATCTTTGCGCTGCGGAGACTAAAGAGTGGAACGGGAACCAGCTGCGCTGATGTGTTAGTCTGCTAAGGTTGAGATTGAGAATTTGAGATTGCGGCAAAGGAGAAAGGAGAAGTGGGAGTGGTAGTTGTGGACTGCTGGTGTTAGTCAGCAAAATTTTAAACTTTTATCGAACTTGTGAAGTCGGTTCCATTCGATTAATCTTATCGATTTTGCTCGAGTTTAACTGATTTTACTAATTTTTAAATTTTTAACCTGATTTTATCCATTATATGCATGTTAATTCGTAAACAAGTTAAACTTGTAATTTGAACAATCTTGGGACAAACAAAATGGGGCATAAGCACTGGACAAGACGGGACAAATGGCATGGGGCTGTACCAGATAATGTATCGAACTAGACATACACACATGTTTGTTGTCTCGTGTTTAGTTCATGAACAAGAACAATGGTGGATGCATTTTTGCAAAAATTCATTTCAGTCCTCTTAAATTTTTCACCAATTCATTTTAGTCACCACATTTTTTAATGATTTTTAGTCCTTATTTTATTTTGTCCTCTAATTTTTAGTAAGTGAATTTAGTCCCTGAATCACAAAAAAAAAAAAAAATCAATTAAACCCCTATATGTAAAAATTCATTCTAATATAATACAAGTGAAATTGGTCAAACATTAGTCAATCAAATTAAAAAATGAGTGATAAATAGAATAATGGATGATATAGAAAATTGAGAGAATGATTTGTCCATGGCATTTGACAAGTTTGATCCACCCCATGGTGGGACAAGAATTTTACCTTTAGGACAACTATGGACAGGACAATGATCCAATAAGCACATCAAACACCATGCAATATCTAACCTGTCCTATTGAATCCAGTTTTGTTGTCTAAAGGACCACATGCATCATGCTAAGAGTTGGTTCAGGTTAAAAACGAAGTTATTACAGCAAGCTCATTCATGATGCATTCATACCATTGTATTAATTTAGACATATAGTTCAAAGTCAAGATCAGAATACTTCGTTATCCCAGAAAGCAGCTTACCAAAACCACAGCAACATGGTTTATGGAAAACTTGAGATGCCTCATTTTTATCTCAGAGAATGACCATTCAAGATGCTTAGTTATCAAAGATTACAACGGCTACCTCTGCATTACATATATTAACAGTTCAATTATGTGAAGTTCTTGTTGTGTCACTATTTTTGGTCAAAAAATGATAATTTCTTTCACTTTCAACCAAAGAATAGAATTTCATTCTCATTGCTTACAAAATTGAATATTAGTACAAGACATAAATGCCTAAACATATAGTTTTACAGCTTACCCAGAAGAAGATGAAGCAAAGACATTTAAGTCTCTTTGGCTGAGTTTCATGTACAGGCCCTGCAAATAGTGTCACTCCATTAGGACGCATCTTTGCATATATAAGATTTTAACATTTTACCAAATCATTGTCAAGTTTCCAACTTTTAAATGATTGTGCTTGATGCATGGGATAATTACATCTGTAGTGTGTATTGTTGCTCCAGTGGTCATGCGAATGTTCTGATCAGGAACCAGCTCAAAGTTAATTTTCTGTAGAAAGATTGCAAGTGCAACAATGGCTTCAAGTAAAGCAAACTGGTCACCAACGCATTTACGGGGTCCTCCACTGAAAGGAATGAACCTGTGATGCACAAGTTACTAATTTAGAATGATGCAGACCAGGATGAGTTAAGGGGGAAAATACACATTATTGGACTTTGAGCTAAATAAATAGCCCATTATGTTAACAAAGTTGTACCAAAATCAAAGAAATGATAATGAAAAGGAACAAGAAGAAACAAATACCTAAAATCTGTGTTTGATTCATTAGGCACTGGGCCATCCAAGCCAAATCTCTCTGGCACAAACTCTTCTGCTCTCTCCCAGACCTTGTAAATTAAGCACATAAGAAATGCCATCAGAAGGCAATTCACACAACAAACACATTCTTGGTTTCCATGAATAATCACGCCAAATAACTATATTCGAATTCAAACAAGCCTTTTAGGATGGGCAGTGATCTCAAAATATTGCCATTTGATGTAAAACTGAACAGAAAAGGTGTCAAAATTCAAAAATTCTTTCCATTTGTTTAGAAACTAAATCGTAACAGAATTTCCATTTCAGTTCTTAATTATGTTTCATAATTGTCTTTGAACTCGTACATTTAAGGTAAGATACTGCCAGAGTTGCTTACGAACTGGCAAATAGAATTTGTTTAATGAAGGAAGCATATTTCCATATGCCTGGGCACATAGTGACAAGATGGCTTGGGTGTCAACACAAGATTCAAAATCTTGCCAATCAGAGTTGCTTAAGAACCAGCAAAGAGAATTTATTCAATGATGGAAGCTTATTTCCACATGCCTTGGCATACATTGACAGGCTTGGGTGTCAATACAAGATTCAAACTCTTACCAATCAATAGTGTACGCTTAAGCAAGCTTCTTAGTCACTTCCTAGCAATTTTGGAAGTGCTGAAAGATTAGAATTTATCCCAATCTAAAGTAGCAAATCTAATTATTCAGTCACTAAATAAGTACCTTGATTTTGTCAGGTTTCCAAATTTACAGCAGACAGCAGCGATCTCTTAATTTAAAACTATTAGCTTGAATTACAAAATTCAACTCAATGTAGGTTTGAAGAGTGCACAAAATATCATAATACCTTGGAGGAGTGATGAATATTGTACACTGAAATCATTATATCTTGTCCAGCATTAACCTTATAATTACCAGGAAGCACATCAGCAACTTGGGCTCTTCTTATCAAGACCTACAAGAGTAACAACATATGATAGAATAATAAAGAGATTGCTGTAATAAACCTTTTGTCTATTTTTGCCAGTCCTGTTACAATTTACTTAAGGAAAGGCAATGCAACCTACAGGAGGATGTGGGTAGAGACGTAGGGACTCATTTATGCAGCGTGTCAAATACTTTAGATCCTTTATATCATCATATGTAGGAGGCCTTCCCTGTAGTACTCGGTCAACCTCTTCTTGTGCTTTCATCAGTGCAGAAGAATCCTGAAAAAAAGTAAATGAAGAACAATGATGTTCAGTAGCATGTGTATTTATGTAACAGGCTGAGAAGTTAAAATTAGTGGGTTAGGCAAACTATTCCTATTGAAGGTTCTAAAAACTTGAGTAGGTAGATGAAAGGAACAAAAGACAAGTCACCATTTTCAAATGAAATGCTAAACAAACTTGTTGCTACATATTAGGAACTGCTAGAACACAATTCAGTTTCTGAAAATATATAACTATGAGATGTTCAAGAATGAATCTGACAATCAGAAATAGGAACCTAAGTGAAGCAAATGTAGTTATCACACTAGCCAGTTATGTGCAATAAAACAGCCAGACATGTTTTTTATAAACAAACATTAATTCAACTTGTAATATATAATCCCTATGTGGATTATAACAAGAAACTAAACAGTAACAAATGCTTCGACTTCACAGGTAGCAATAAATTCATAAGACATCACACCTACATGTAAATAGTGCATCTAAATATGCAAACAAAATCCACAGATACATCATGCATATAGACCAATGCTTTAACCCAGAATACCTCCCTATAGGATCAAGTTTGCCCAGCCTGTGCCCCACAGAGGGACAAATTAATTCCTAGGTTAAATGGACCAAAACTAGACCATCTAATCTAATGATTTTTGTTCCAAATGGCATAAGGAAAATTAAACTCCACTGGGTGTTTCATTGATCATTTAATATTCACTTCCCATATTAATTAAGACATGTGCCCCCATTGATAAATGACTGAACAAGGCAACACTCTTTGAACTCCTTTCAGGTCAATGAGCATTCGAGAATAAAAACTTTTGAAAAGGCATTATGCTTGTACCACATTGGAGGAGAAGTAACAAGATTTTGGGCCTAAATACTTCTATCCTCACAGTTTCAAGTTCTTGAAATAATTGAGCATCAAAAGTCATTAGATTTGGTTTGAAGTCTGAAATTGTCATTGATTGAGGGTTTCCAATTTGAATATCAACAAATATTTTCCCACGTAATAAGATAGACTACCTTACTCAGGAGATACAAAGTCCAAGTCAATACTGAACCAGTTGTCTCATGGCCAGCAACTAACATTGACAGTAGGTCATCTCGTAACTGTACACTTGAAACCTGAAAGACATTTGGCCATTAAATTAGAATTAAGAAGAAAACTTAAGAAAAGATACTAGAATCCAATATCAGAGGGAGAGAGATCATTCTTCAAAATAGAATTCTCTTGCAAATCCATGGATACAGAAACTTTGGACGATAAGGTCAGACATCCTAATTTTCATGTCAAGAACTATGTGCCAAGACCAGCATAAAAGGCACAGTGCAACGAATCCTTTTTTTTTTTGGTTGAACTAGGAGGGTCATGATTCCTCAAGTGGATGTTCCCATTCCAGATCCTAACGGTGATATGCTTCAACTCCCAATTATGCTATTGTGTTTCAATCCCAGCAAACTACAGAGTATGCCATGCAGGAGCATAAAATTTGCAAAGTAAAGCAGTAAAATAATGTAGTTCTGCATAAAGGCTTCTTATTTCATGCCAGTCATAATTCTCACAAACTGTACATAATTTATGCACAGAAATTCCTGCTTTATAACTGAGACTTGCATATTATTCTACAATTCCACAATCATGATATATTAATAAACACTAATAAATAAAGAGCAGGAGCAGACCTCTTCCCTGCTGGCAAGCAAAAACCGGAGAATGCTCGGATCATTGTCGTTCACGTATTCCTCCTCATTTATTTTCTCACCCTCAATTTCCACAATCTTTTTGCATTTCTCAATAAGTTCCTCAACAGTTTGCCTAATAACCATAACCGCCTTTGCCGCTTTTATTTGCCTCGGTATAATCTTACACAAAGCGTCAATCTGCACCAACAAAAAATCACAACTTAAAAACTAAAAAAAATTGAGAAACACGGAGAATAATGAAGAAACACATGGATTTACATGCCTTCCAATATGGCAAAAGGTCAGTGGAACGAGCCTCTGCCTCTTTCAATGCAGTGTAAACAGCATCAATAACAGGACTATCAGTAGTTAATGAATCAAAATTGTAGTTGAATACTGAAAGACCAATGACATCAAGTGTCAATTGAGAAAACTTCTCTTCCATATTTACAGCATTGCCATTCAATGCATCTGCTTGTAACTTCTCCACCAACCTTTCTGCACATTTGCAAAACACCCTTTCAACTATCACTGACAAATACTTCCTGTGCAGTGAAGGCACCACTGCCCTGCGCCTTGCCTACACACCATCACCATAAATAAAGAAAATTCACAACTTCAAGTATAGTTACTGATACTGATAATAATTGCCAGCTTAGTTTCATAGGATAAATAATGTGGGGGAGGAAGGAAAGAAGATTACAGTCCAAAGTGGGCCCTCGGCGATAGCAAAACCGGAGCCGAAGAGAAACTCAGAGACTTCAGCAACAAGGCCTTTGGCATACTTAATACCATAATTTTTTAAAACATGTTTAGCAATAGCAGGGTCACTAACTATAACGAAATTTCTAGGGCCAGCAGCGAGACGGTAAATAGGCCCATAATCATTCATCCATTTAAACAAAGGGAGAAACAAAGCACCACCTAAAAGATCAGACACATCTTCAAGCTTAGCACTGGCAATGGGAATCCCTGAATCATCGTTTCGGCCTAAGGATAAGGAGCGAGTGAGGGACGTTAGCCAGTCTGGGCTGACCCAAGAGGTTTGTTTTTGGGTTTCGTCGTCTAAAGAAGATTTGATGGACAGAAATCGAGGTTTCGGAGGGAGAGTGGTGGTGGAGATGGGTTTGTAATTGTAGAGAGGATGAAGAGAGGAGACGGAGAAGGTGAGTGACATCGTTTTGGTCTCTTTCTCTCTCGCTCTCTTGTTTCCCTGCCTGTCTGATTATGTTTTGCAGCTAAAACACCACGTGGCTCCTTTTTTAATCTTTGTTGAATGTGGACTCCGAGTCTACGAGCTCCAGTGTAGAAGATGATGATGCGATATGATATTCTCATTTATTTTGTTTTTTAAATCATATTATATGCAACGGGCTTGGGCCATTACATCCGGTTAGAAGTCATGGCTTGTAGCTTCGAGAATTTATGTGGTCGTAAGACGGTTACAAAAACTTTGTTCAAAGCCATTTTCCAGCATTCAAAGAACCTTCTATAAATGAAGTAGAAGCTTCTCTTTTCGTTGATGTGCAGTCCAGCCACCGCCCGAGCAACATCCTGCGTCACTAAGCCTCAGTCTTTGGATACAAGTTATCGAACAAACCCACTGTCAATGCCAGCAGCAATGACATCCACTGCTTCAAGTAGAAGTGACATCATAAGGTATGGGTTTAGATGGCAGGGAGATGGAGGCTTGAGTTTGAAGGCTTAAGAATTAAGGTGGCTATCCAGGTCTGTTTTCTTTTAAAAAAAATATTAAAACAAAACAAAATTTTGAATTAATATTTTTTTGACATTTTTATATTATTTTAATATGTTAATGTTAAAAATAATTTTTAAAAAATAAAAAATATTATCTTAATATATTTCCAAATAAAAAATATTTTGAATAAAAATTAATTCACATTCTTCCTTCCTGCTTCTGTGATTGTTGAGGTGGCCGTGATCAGTATTTTTCGAGGACTTGAAAAATGATGAGAAGAAAAGAGAGAGAACTGAATAGAATGATGATAAAGCATATTAATTAATAATACCAATAGGATGCTACTTGAGCATTTGCAAGTAGACTTGAGAAGATTGCACGTGTACAAGAAAACAAAAATCCTAAGATAGTAGTGGATCAGCCTAATACAACATCATTATAGATTATAATTTCGCAGATTTACAAAGCCGAAAAGCTAACCTCAAGAAAACATTAACCACAACATAAATTTTGACACAACTACGTCACCACATCTTTTCACAGCCTGAGGTAATCTCATAAAGCCAGGTTCTGGATTGCCATTTCTTTAAGGGATGTTACCAATCTTCGAAACACCTTCAGATTGTGGCCGACCTTATCCTGCAAAACCAAGCAAGCACATCGGTGCCGATTGCAAAAGACCAGAATCAAGATCAAATTCCTAAATAGTTGGTGACACCACAGAAGCTAAATACTTCAACACCAGGGATGCAACTATTTACTTCATTTTAACTAAAGCCGATGATAAGCACATGGTTTACGCTGAGATTTGTCACTTTTCCGAGTGAAAATTGTTACACTAGACATGCTTGCCACAGATGAAAAACACCCCCAAAGGTTCTTACAAGTACTTCATTTGCATCATAAGCAAGTTGATATTACGACAATAAGAAGTCCACATACTACAAAAAGGAAAGAAGAATTCTTTTTCTTGTGAAGGAGTAATTTTATGGTGCTTAGAAAGCAACAAATGGTATACTGTTAGTTATTTTCTAGAAGTCCACTTTGAAGAAAGAGACAGATATGGGTCATAGATTTTATTCTCTCTCTCTCTCCTTGTGTTTCTCTCTTTTTTTAAATTGGACTCTAAGAAGTAACTATCAGAATGCATTAGTTATTCACTAATGCAACATAAAATTTTCTGTTATTACACAACAAGAGAGAAGAATCACAAAAACATGGTGGCCAGAATGGAAAAGATGTTTACAAAAAGAATTTTAAATAAAGAATTTAAATTTCAAACATATCATCGAGCAGTTAAGTTAAAATCATTAGGAATGCCTAGTGTATAATTTTAAATTTCCAATTCAAATTTAAAACTACCAAATTAGTTTCAATTTATCTATTTAATAAGAAATTAGCAGGAACAAGGTTAGGGATGCACAAGCACAACAAAGAATTATTCATAGAATAAGCATAAGTTATTTGACCGCTTTGAATCCACTAGTTTTGAATGAGGTCCTTGATAGCATGACTAGTATAGAAATTAGAACAGAAAATTGTGAAGAGATATTATTTATGGTTTTGCTAGCAGATAAAGGCAAGATAGAGATGTTATCCCTAGGTCTTTTCCAACATAACTTGAATATTTCTAAGTTACACTTAATTTACAACACCAAAAAAAAAAAAAAAAAAAAAAAAAAAAAAAAAAAAAAAATATATATATATATATAGTCGAACCACTAAATACAGAATTATTAGTAGAAAATATAAACAAGTGAAATGTATAGATAGAAATACAAGTAAATATATGAGATTAAGTAGTGTTTTGTCATAAAAATGAACCCAAGTTACAAAAACTATGGTAACTTAAAGTCACCGTAGTGAGCAACTTATCCTTTCATAGTGGAGTGAAACTAAGCCGGCCAATTGCCCCTGAAGCAGGTGCAAAAAGGTTAGTTTTGTATAAGTTATTCAATTCCACAATTCAGGTTATTGCTGTAATTTCAAGATTCCTTCCAAAGTCACCATAGCGAGCAACATATGGAAGTGTCTTGTTAGTTCTTAATTAAGCAGGGAAAATATATTTATGTTAGAGGTGACATTAATCGAATTATTTGAGAAATCTGTAAAAACCGATTAGAAAGTAACAGAATCAAAAGATTTTCTTAACTTTTTAGAAAAATTCAATTATAATTTTTTTTAAAAAAAAGAATTAGTTCAGTTCTGTTCGGTTTTTGTTTCAAAGTTTAGAAACTAAAAAATCCAAAGCAAACTGAAAAAACCCATTGTAAACTCAAGGCCTAATATGAAATAAAAGCTCATTAAATCAAAACCTGTCAAAAATAACACAACTAAAAGGTCCATGAACTAAATTGTATTTATTTAGTTTTTAAAAATGTAAAACCAAACCAATCAATGCAAAATTGAGTTTTGAAAAAATTCAAAGGCTTAAACTGGTTTGGTTATGTGCAAATTTAGTTGAATTTCTCATCTAAACCAAACCGTTTAAATTAGCGATCACCCCTAATTTATGCTTTTCTTTTTTAAGTGTATTCTAATCCAACTACATAAAGCCTTTATAATACTTTATTTCAGAAATAAGAATTTATGAATAAAATTTAGGTTGCACATGCAATTCCAAAGAATTCGATTCCTAAGATGAGATGCCTTAGGTTTCTTGGTATGATCCTAGAAAACTCACCAGTGTCACTAGTAGCCCGAGTAAGTTTTTCCCTAATTCAAATTTTTTTTAAAAAAAATCCCTTTATTCTTTATTAATCTAAACCATTAAAATCCCCAGATTTTCAAAGCTCTGGCCCATCATAAAACGCTTGTAGGACAGAAATTCATCTGTCATGATGTATTTCCCTTCTCAAAAACCTAGCTCAACCCCTGATTGTACCAAATAATCAATCCATTAGATTTACTAATTTATCTCTAACAATTTTGATGCCATGATTCAAAAGGTATCACTACACATATCTCAGTAATTATTTTGACTGGCTATAAGCAGTAAGCAAAAATTAAGTACCATACCTCACTCAACAGTTCAAGTCGTTCTAACGTGGGAACCAACATCCCGCACAACCAAGATAGATCCTGTCTGGGATCAGAGTGTGTGCCAAATGTAACTGCTTTTGTAGCTCCACTACTATCAGATGCCAAGGACCTGCCAAGAAAACAAAAGATCACAGGGCAGATAAATTTTAACAGCTATACCTCATCTACTAATGAACTCACCTTGGATCCCCAAAGCAGTAGGTACTTTAGTTTATTTTTTTGGTAAATGACCAACAGAAATTTAATTATTTTTTCATATTGCTTTATACACAATTTTCACACAGATGTATTGGTGAGACGCAAAAAAACTGAAGCTTTATAATCTTTTCACTTATTTGGTTTTTATCTAAAACTCAGCCTTGTTCAAGTCATCACTACATGAAAATTTCATAAGAAAAACCAAATTACAATTACAGAAACCAAACCCATACAATGCCTGGTTGTAGTAAAACAGAGGGTGCAATATATTACAGCAAAATTTAAAAACATCTAACATCCAACAACCAGATCTAAATAGCAGGGAGAGGGGTCAAGAAAGGAAAGGAAAATAAAATTAAAGAATAAAGACGACGCACCCTTCACGAAAATGGACAAGGATGATATCCAGCACATGTTCTGCAAGGGGAAGTAACAATGTAATTAGCTGATCTCTTTCGCCAGCTACACGGGACATTTCCATCATTGCGATATACCTCCTGCAAAAATAAGAGAATCAGGCATAAAGCAAGATAACGTTCGTCAAAAGAATATGATTGATTAGTTACACTTCAACATTATGGTTTCATGAGAATCCAGCATGAAGATTTTCAAAGAACAAAGAAAACAGCTGAGAAGTTGAGGAAGTGACAATGATCCCTTCCAGGCTCGGACACCAATCCCTTGATTGCAATAAATGGAGGCTAAACCATGGTTGTCAATCTCATTCTGTAATTGAAAAAAATGACTGGTAGTCCAGGTTCAGAACCTAGCATCCATAGGGTAATGGCTTTAAAAAGATCAACATCATGGGATGATGGCTGTGGCAAGCTGGTGGTATAATGCCAACGTAACATCATGTAATTGGGCTAAATCTACTAATTACAAACCATTGATGAATACTTTTAAAAGAAATTGGATCTGGTTTTATGGGACCATGCTGACATGATTTGAGTGGGCACTTTTGATACTATGATTTACATTCAACAATAGCTTTTAGGGATCAACAACCACCAGAAAGTCTATGAACATCTTTAAAATAATTTAACCAATTTATAATTTCCTTGTTGATTGTTCACAAGGATTAATTAATACTTATGTCCTACAGATTAGATAAAGAGGTAATGCTTCGATTTTTAGATGTTGCTGGGTAAAAAGGCATAACAAATTTCAAATATAATCTAGCATGGGTCTTATCTTTGAAGAGGAAAGATTTCACCAACAAAGGAGTTTCTGAGGCATCCAGCATAACAAGTAATGAGTTTAAGAATGAGTTTTATCAAATGTTTATTTTTAGCAAATGGATAGAGTCAAGCCATGCTTCGCATTAGAAAAGAAATAGCAGCAA